GGCTGGGAGGGCAGTGCAGCAGGAACCCGCTGTGGCGGGCGGGGCGCAGCCTGCTCTGGGAGACCACACGGCCCTGGCCCAGTCCGCCTCTCCCTGTCCCTCTGCTCACGGGCAGCTGTGGCCGGCAGCCGGCCAGGGTCTTTGGCGAGGGACCAGAGGCTGGCAAAGCTCATCAGGAGCCTGGTTCTGTCCATCTGAGTGCCATCCCCAGAGACAGAGACGCTGAGTCCCCCAGCCAAACACAGGACAGCCCCCTCCCACCCTCAGAAACGCGATAAAGCCCACAGCGTCCTACTGGCATGGCAGTGGGCGTGTCTTCCACGTAGGAATGGCCAGGCACAAACCACAGGTGCTCCCGGGAAGCCCTGGTGAGGCCAGGATCCAGGGGACACGGTGGACGCTCAGACCTCGGAGGTCGTTGGCTTCCAGTACTCCTGCAAGACCCCTTCTGGGAATCTGGGTTCTGCTTTTTTTTTTTTTTTTTTTTAGGTTTATTTTATGTATTTGAAAGTCAGAGAAAGAGAGAAAGTGAGCTAGCTTCCATCTGCTGGTTCAGTCTGGAAATGGCTTGCAAAAGCCAGAGCTAGGCTAGACTGAAGCCAGGAGCTTCTTCCAAGTTTCCCACGTGGGTGGCAGGGGCCAAATACTTGGGCCATCTTCTGCTGCTTTCCCAGGTGCACTAGCAGGGAGCTGGATCAGAAGCGGAGCAGTGGGGACCTGACCATCGCATATGGCATGCTGGTATTGAAGGCATTGGCTTACCCTGCTGCACCACAACACCAAGCCCCGGGTCCTGCTTCTTGGGACAGTGACAAGAGGCATCTACCCAGCAGTGTATTTTATAAGCGTTAGTCACGGGGAAAAAATTGCCGAAATTAAAATATTACACCAGTCTGAAAAATACTTTTCTTGTAGCAGCGAAACTTCTAGAACCGGTGACAGTCAAACAGTAAGCCTGTTGTCATTTCCATGACTGTGGACCCGTCCCCCACCACTGCTGTCACCACCTAGTGTTGGCTCTGGTTGCTGGAAGTCACACCCGAGCTTGAGTCAGGAGGGGCGACCCACATTCTACATGGATTTCATTCCTCGGTTGAAGACAGTGAGCAGCAAGAATTGACAGAAAGATTTATATAAATACTTGCTTGGGGCCAGCGCTGTAATATAGCAGGTTAAGCCTCCACCTGCCGCACTGGCATCCCATATGGGTACTGGTTCAAGTCCTGGCTTCTCCACTTCTGATTCAGCTCCCTGCTAGTGGCCTGGGAAAAGCAGCAGAAGATGGCCTAAGTGTTGGGCCTCTGCTGCCCATGCGGGAGACCCCAGCGAAGCTCCTGGCTCCTGGCTTCAGCTTGGCCCAGCTCTGGCTGTTGTGGCCATTAGGGGAGTGAACCAGTGGACAGAGGATCTTTTTGTGTTCATTTCTCCCTCTCTCTGTAACTCTGCCTTTCAAAGAAACTAATGCCTGTTTAAAAAACTTGTCTAACTTCATGTGAGTCTGGAGATTGAGAGCATAGGTTTGGATAGCAAGGATAACTGAGAGGTTACTTCCAAAATTCAAGAGCCAATCGATTTATTTTTGGAGAATGAGAAAGTCCAAGAGCTCCTGGCTCCTCCTCACTTCCTTGGGTGTCCCGGACACTGGGAGATGGGAGCATTTCCCTCGTGGCCATGCTAACGAGCATCTTTCCATGTGTTTATCATCCATTTGCATACCTTCTTCAGGGAAATATCTGTTTAGATCTTTTGCCAATTAAAAAAAATTGGGTTATTTTCTCTATTATTGAGTTGCAAGATCGGACGAGTAGCTGGGACTTGAGCTGGCACACAGTATGGGACACAGGCACCCCACTGCACCACAGCATCTGCCCGATAAGGAATGCTGGCCTGTGGTTTCTTGTGACGTCTGCAGGGGATCAGCGTAGCGCTAGCCTCACAGGACAAGCTAAGAAGTGTTCCGTCATCTTCATGAAGGCTTGGCATTGCTGCCTTTTTAAACACTGGATAGAATTTATGAATGAAGCTGTTTGGTCTTGGGCTTTTTTTTCCTTTTTTGTGAGAAGTGTTTTGATTACTGATTCTGTCTTTTCGTCTTGGGTTTCCCCCAGCTTGTCGGATCTGTATAGTTTTACAGTATTTCCTTATAATCATTTCTGTCTCTGCAAGGTAGCTAGTGTTGTCTTTTCATTCCTGATTGTACTAGTGTGACTATTTTCTCTTATTTCCTTGGTCGGTCTAGCTACCGCTGCATCAATTGTAGTGATCTTTTCAAAGAAACACCTTTTGGTTTAGTTGATTTTTCTCTACGGTTTTTCTATTCTCCATGTCGCTTGTTTCTGCTTTGTTAATTTCCTTCCTTCTACTTGCTATTAGTTTAGTTTGCTGTTCTTTTTCTAATTTCTTAAGGTAGAAGATTGTAATATTGAGTCATCTTTCTACTTTTATTTTTTATTTTTTGACAGGCAGAGTTAGACAGTGAGCGAGAAGACAGAGAGAAAGGTCTTCCTTCTGTTGGTTCACCCCCTAAATGGCTGCCACGGCCAGCATGCTGTGCCGATCCAAAGCCAGGAGCTTCCTCCTGGTCTCCCATGGGGTGCAGGGCCCAAGCACTTGGGCCATCCTCCACTGTCTTCCCGGGCCACAGCAGAGAGCTGGCCTGGAAGAGGAGCAACCGGGACAGAATCCGGCGCCCCGGCCGGGACTAGAACCTGGTGCCACAGGTGGAGGATTAGCCGCAACGCCAGCCTTTCTACTTCTTTAGTATAGGAATTTTGTTATCTACTCGATCATGTGTTTTGCTGTTGTGTCTTCTTTGCGAAGTATTTTCTTCTCTTGTGGTTTCCCCTCTGGCCTGGTGTTTAGGAATGTCTGTTTAATTTCTACATCTTGTTGAATGCCCCTGATTTCTATTGATGCCATTTCATTCCACTTTTCAGCTGAGATCTGTGCGCTGCCCAAAGTCCTGGCGTGCAGTGCACGTGCACAGAACATCTCTGCTGCTGCTGGAGCGTTCTGTGGCTGCGAGCCGGGTCGGGGCGGTTTGTGATGTTGCTCAAGACGTCTGCTTCCTTGTTCACCTTCTGTCTAGTGGTCCTAGCCAGGGTTCCATATAGGTGATGTGCGTGTGCACACACACACACACACACGCACACACACAATGCATGGGAGCTGGCATTATGGTGTGGCAGTTAAAGCCGCCACTTGGGCACCAGATGGAATGTGGGCAAAAGGAGCTGGCACTTCCCACCGGCAGGAACAGGCCAGCTGGTGAGTCCTGTATCCCTGGGGTCGCCCCTCTTCCGACATGTGTCACTCTGGTGGGCGCCAGTTCTGCAACACACTTTGCTTGCTCAGAGGACCTGTGACACTTGTGCATCTGAGCACCAGAGAGAGTGTGTGTGCTGCAGCCAAACAAGAGGGGGGTGGCCACGGAGGCTGGCGAGGCCCCCGGGGCCCCGCTTTCCCTGCCTCGAGCCCCAGGGCTCCAGCACGATCCCCCTCCCAGGACTGAACATCCACACTCAGCCAGCCCATCGCAGACTTTGCAAGTGCACGTATCGTATGCTGTGCCATCACACTGATACCTGGCGAGCATTCTCAGGACAAGCTGCGAGTGTTCACGAGACGGCAGGCGTGGCGGCGCTGTCACTGCTGGCCCTCGTGCTACAGCCCACCTCTGCTTCCCAGAGGGCTGTGCAGTCTGCACACCCAGGGGACGCAGCCTGATCCATCGGAGAACGTTTATGGCACCTTTCAAAGTCTTACAGTGTGACAGTCTTGGTGCCAGCTGTTTCATCACGTTTCCACTCTTTTCACTGCTGTACACACCCTCCACTAAGTGGTGGGGTTACCTCCTGGGAAGCCCATTCTGAGAACGTCCTAGGCTGGAAAGGCATGAGGCCCACCTCCCCCTGTGGACCCTCCAGCCCAGCCCCCAGCACACAAGTGCCCAGTTTCCTCTGGTGATGCTGGGGGTGCCTGGGCGAGCTGCGTCGCACCGCGTCCTCCTAGCAACCGTGCAGTCTGAGGTCTGGCGCCCACTGAATGCTAGTGCAGCATAGAGGAGAGCAGGCCCAGCCATCACTAAGTCCTGGACCGTCTGTAATCGCTCAGCCAAAGCCCTACTAACAGACAGGTGTCAGCCCCAACCTTTCACTGCTGGGAACCACACACGTCTTTATTGTGTATTCCATCACGAGTTCATTCCTGCAGATGACTGCTTACAGGTGGGAGCTTCTGGGTCCACGTTCTCCTGTGTGTTGACAGCTCCTGTGTTTTCCTCTATAGCCGAATTCAGTGCACCTGTGCTATTCTCTACTGCTGCGTCAAGGTTGACACCCACCTAGAGACCCTCAACCACCCCTGGCAAGAACCTAATCTCACCGGCACTGCCAGCGCTCCTCCTACTCTGGCTTCTCAATGCGGAAGTGTAAGGTTTGCAGCAAAGAGGGGATGTGGATACCCCAACCCGAGGGCGGCCGCCGAGTCAGCTCCCTGGGGGGACTCTAGAAGCCAGGCGTCAGGCGCTGTGCTGGGTCAGGGCTCTGCCAGTGACCTGGGCTAGAAGTCATGTCCTACCTGACCAGGCGCTCGTGGGGACTTGAGCCCAGTGTCCAGTGCTTCCGGTTTCTTACCTGTGAGATGGAATGAAAGCCTCCGAGCTGTAGGCTCGTGTAGACAGGGAGTAAGCTACAACTCCACAGGAAGAGGGAAATCTCCTGCAATACTGAGTTAAAAGTGCAAAGGAGGCTTTATAGGCGATGTGGTCAGAACCAGGCAGAACCAGTGAATGGACCTGAGGAATATGTTCTTTGAAAGAGAAACAAGGGGATGACTGACACACGGTGGGGAGGGGCGGGGAGCATGGTGGCTCTGGCCCCAAGCCGGGGAGTTGCACAGTGTGCTCTCCCGCCATGCTCCACGCTCCTGTGTGTCTCTCATCAGAAAGGCCAAACTCCCAAGAACCCCCGCAAGCCAAGAAGCACGAGCCACATCTCAGATGTGTTACGAAATATTAGTTTTATTTAACCAGTTTTCACAGCTGAATATTTATTCTATAAAAACTTTACAGATTGTACAGTTTATATATAGTTCAAACTACGGAACGAAAAAGTAGGTCCCACAGATGCAAAAATACTGTACCAATCAATCCAAGGCAAAGGCAGGTTTATACACTGTACAGCTCTCCACGCGGCCGGGGAGGTGGTCAGTTCTACGTATAAACTGCAAAACTGTACAAAAATAGGGTTTTGATTTTATTTCATTCTTCATACATTCAATAGGATTGCAAGCCCTGCAGGCCGCCTAGCCCCAGGCGCCTGCGGCGGGCACTCAGTCCCCGCTCCTGAAAGGAATGCACGCGTCTATGCACAGGGGGCGCTCTAGAGCACCACGCTGCACTGGGTTCATTACACAGACGGAAGAGCAGAGCCCAGGACCAGACCTGTCCAACAGAAGGCAGTCCTTGTGTGTGTGTGTGTGTGTGTGTGTGGAAAGTTCTTGCATTTAATAGTGTGCCAAAGAATTTTAACTTATTAAATAAAATATACTCCAAGTGAACCTAAAAATTACACTTTATAAACATAAAAATACTTTTTTTGGTGTAATACATCAATCATATCTGCAAATAGAAACCCAAAACTGTATATAAAGTAGTATTTCTCACCCAGCAACAAGAAGCACTTATGTAGTTATTTTTTTCAAGAGGGTCAGAAAAACTATTTAAAACCCACTAAGGCTAACTTGTAACTTACTCAGGCTTGCGCTATTCAGTGACTCACTAATACTGCAAAACCAGCTTTTCTCCGAGCGACAGCGGCTTCCCCGGGTTAAGTGGGGAAGGGCTGGTCGCAGCCAAGTGCTGCCCGCGCCCTGGACAGGGCCCCCGGGGCTCCGGCTCAGACTCCGACCTGTCTGTCCCTTCTGGGAGACAGAAGATGGCTAATCCCCCCTTTAGAGTCTGCGTTCTAGAAGGAAAGGGAAAAGAACAAGGAAAACAAACATTACTCCAGACTTCTCTGCCACTCAAACAAAGCACACTTCTTCTTCTTTTTTTAAAGTACAGTACTAGCCAAAGAAAACCAAACTCAGCACTTCCAGGAGCAGCTACACTTACTCTTGTGTGTAGATAAGTACAAATAATGACGGTGGACAAAGGAGTTTTGTAGTTATTTATTTTAAAGTTACAGTACTTTCAAAACTCCTCCATAATAAATAGCGCGGATGTCTGCAGGCCTGCTTCCCGTGTGCGGGCGGACGCGATGGGGGCCGCGAGGCTGGGCCGCCGCCCGTCAGAACTCGTCAATCTTCCTCTGCAGGTACTTCAACATGGAGTCCATGCCCTGCGCCGAGCCCCAGATCTTGCGCAGCACCTCGCACTCGCGCTCGTTGGCCTGCTCCAGCTCCACCCTCATGCTGCAGCGCACCAGCGCCTTCGACTCCTCCAGCACCTGCGGCGACAAGCACGCGTCAGCCGGACCCGAGGCCACCGCGGGCCTGCCACCCACACACAGGACAGCGCCACGCCGTGCGCTCAGCCACCCGCACCAGCAGGGGAGAGCTCTGTACTGCACCTGACCCTGAACAGCCCGGGGGAACCTCCATCGTAGGAGGTGCCTGGCAGCGCACGGGTTCTGTTCCGACACGTGGCACTTTCTAGAAGGGACCTGACGTGGGGCTGGGGGAGCGGAGACTAGGACGCGGCTCGTCCTGTGCTGGAAGACTGGACGTCACGCTGCACGTGGAACAGGGGCAACAGAAGCACTAAACGTGTGGTTGTGGGAGGCCCCGGGGTGAGGGACGGAGCGCTCTACGTGGGCCCTCCCAGGACATCGCCAGGAACTCAATCCAGACTCAAGTCCATGCCTTTGGCTCCTGGGCGCGTGCAAAGGGCCCGGTGAGCAGGTCTGGAGCCATGGCATCCAGTGTAGCCTGTCTGTCGCCAGGGTTTGGGAAGCCTGTCCCGTGTGCGAGCTGTCTGGGAGAAAGGCTGCCCTTTAAAAGCAGGACTACCGGAAGGGAACTCATCGGACGTACAACTGGATTGCACGAGGCGAGCTCCTTGATTCGAACCATGACTTCCTGGGTGAAGGTTCCCGGCCAAAACACCTGCGAGACCAGGCCTTTGCCGCAGGCCTCCTGCGCGGTCAGCTTCCGCCCGCTGAGCAGCATCTCATTGGCCTGGAAGGAGAGAGGAGCTGCGGTCATGTGACGTGCGAGGGGGGGCGGGCGGGGAAGACCCACCCGGAAACCCCGCCTCGGGCCAGGCGCACGCGGCGCTGGACTCCGGCCACCGCCTGGGGCTGCTGAGGCGGGCAGCGTGCAGGGCGCCATCGGGCAGCTTCCGCGGCTGCCGACCTCCTCCTCCATGCTCCGAGTGAGCTCCCTCCATGCATAAAACCACCCTGGGACAACGAGGCCCGCGTGGACCGGAGGCAGGCGGGAACCACCACGCAACGCTTCTGCGTCCGAGGCCGGCCTGGGGGCCCGGTCTCAACACGTGCAGTGTCCAGTGGCCGTGGCTGCCACTCGTCTTGGAGCCCACTCTTGATGGCTTGGCTGTTAACATACACTGCTCAACCAAATGCAGGGGCCAACGCTATGGCGTAGCAGGTTAAGCCACTGCCTGTGATGTTGGCATCCCAAACGGGTGCTCGTTCGGGGCGTGGCTGCTCTCCTTTTGATCCAGCTCCCTGCTAATGTGCCTAGGAAAGCAGAAGATGGCCAAAGCCCTTAGGCCGCTGCCTCCACCTGGGAGACCGGGATGAAGCTCCTGGCTCTTGCCTGGCCCAGGCCTGGTCATTGCAGCCGTTTGAGGAGTAAATCAGCAGATGGAAGATCTCTCTGTCTCTATCTTGATCTCTACATTTAAAAGATTTATTTGTTTGAAAGAGTTACACAGAGAGAGAAGGAGACACAGAGAGAGGTCTTCCATCTGCTGGTTCACCCCCAATTGGCCGCAATGGCCGGAGCTGTGCCAATCCAAAGCTAGGAGCTTCTTCAGGGTCTTCCATGCAGGTGCAGGGGCCCAAGGAACTGGGCCACCTTCCACTGTTTTCCTAGGCCACGGCAGAGAGCTGGATCGGAAGTGGAGCAGCCAGGTCTGGCGTTACCTGCTGTGCCACAGCGCTGGCCCCTTTATATTTAAAGTTAGGTGTTGTGTAACCATTCACCCAAATGAGCAATGTCAGAGGAAAGTCAAACAGCGCTCTTTCAGTTCAGACACGAAGATAGCAGAGGGGGCGAGGCGAGGGGGCTGGACGGGGTCTGGGAGCAGCACAGGGAATGGGGCAGCCGCGGCAGGGCGACCTCTCAGCCGCCCAGGAGGGCCATTCTTGCTGGTGAACCCCGGGGAAGGGCCTTGCCATTCTCTGGGCTCCGCCCCCGCCTCCTGCCGAGCAGGACCCCGAACGCGGGCGGCAGCGCCCTTCCATTGTCCACCACAGTGTCTACGACAGTTCCCGAGTGGCCCCGGCGTGGCACCCCGGCCAGTGCGTCTCCTGCTCCCCCAGATCTGCCCCGTGTGTCTGCACCGGCGTCACAGGTCCCTAGAGGCACACAGCGGGAGAGGCCAGGACGCCCACATTTCGGACTTCTCTGGAGAAGCCACTCCCAAACGAGCCCAGGTGAGGCTGCTGGGCCTCTGCTGGCTGCCCCGCAGCAGCCGTCAGGACCCCCGTGACGTGAGATGGCTGCAGAGAAACCTCACTGAGCGACTCCGCCGCGGACCGCACAGCGTCAGGTGGGGGTGGCCTGGGGAAGGACGAGGCCAGTGGCACAGATACAGCCCATCTTCACCTGGGAGGAGGGAGTGCGTACTGCCCAGGTGCTGCGCTGACGTGACAGCAGGAAAGGACGGCTCCGCGGGTGTCCGCACACCTGGGCGGGTCCCTTGCGGGGCCACAGACCCAAGAGCTCCCTGGCCCCAGCACCATGCAGAGTGGCCACTTGGCAGACCAGGTCAGCCACCCACTGTGGTGTGCCGGGCTGCAGGAGGAGGAGGCCGCACAGCTGGGCCGCCGAGAGCCTCTCCCAGGGAGGCCTTGCTGCCCCGGCCGCAGGCTGCACTGTCAGGAGCCGGATGCCCAGCAGCTTTGGGGACTCCCGCGGCACAACCGGCCACCGGGCCCCAGGGATGATGGACATAAATGAACAGTGATCTACCATGGGGAACCGGGACAGGCCACGGGGCTGCTGCGCTGCCACGGCCCCGCGTTTCCCTCTCCCGACTCCGACAGGCCCCCCCAGCCTGCCACACCTGTCTCCAGTGCCTGCTTCCGGAGAGGCCGGGCGACCCTCCCTCGCGCTCTACTTCCAGACCAAGCAATGGAGGCAGGCACGCCCCGATACAAGCATTATCCCCTTGCATTTGTTTAAACAATTAGAAAAGGGCCGGCACTGTGGCACAGCGGGTAAAGCCACCGCCGGTGACGCCAGCATCCCATATGGGTGCAGGTTCAAGTTCCAGCTATTCCACTTCTGTCCCGGCTCCCTGCTCCTGGCCTAGGAAAGCAGAAGATGGCTCAGCCCAAGTGCTTGGCCCCTGTGCCCATCCGGGAGACCTGGAAGAAGCTCCCGACTCCTGGCTTTGGCCTGGCTCAGCACTGGAGTGAACCAGCAGATGAAGACCTCTCTCTCCCCTCTCTGTAACTCTGCCTTTCACATCAATAAAAAAGCCCTCTTATCCTGCACAGCTTTGCTCCCTCTTCAAAGTGCAGCTTTTAGGTCGGGTTCCGGGGCGGAGCGCTGCTCTCTGGGGCAGAGTCTGGGTGTTTGCAGGGTGTGGGGGTCCGGGTTAATTACGCCGCCACGCTGCAGCTCCTCCCTGAGGTGGCCAGGAGCGCGCTACTGAGTCCTAGTCTGCACAACGCGTGTGTTTGGCGGGGAGCCCCCCAGAGCAGCACACGGGGGACGTACTGACTGCACAACCGGCACCGCCATGTCTTCGCGGCACTTTCTAGAGCGAGGTACTCACAGAGGCTCCTCCCATAATCTTGGGGAACATGACGGTGGAGCAGCCGTCGGGACTCTGCCCGAAGGTGGTGTATGGCGTCTGGAACCAGGCCTTCTCGTTCGCCCACACCACGTCACAGAGAGGCAGGATGGACGCGCCGAGGCCGATGGCCGGGCCGTTGACCGCTACGATAATGGGCTTCTTAAACTGAATGAAAGTATTCACGAAGTTTCTAGAACAGAAGAACAAATGGGGGGGGGATCACTCAAACACGGCATATCTGAACAGATGGAAAAAATCCATTTTAAATCATATATTATTACATATAATACACATTATCATAAGGTGATCTATTATGAAAAAAATCCAGTGAGATGCAAGCTGCAGAAATTAGCCCTGGCATTTGCTTCGGGCCTCCTCTGGGACGCTGGGACCCTGGATTTATTTACTGTGCCCGGTGAGGCTGGGGGACAGCCTGGAGGCCGTGCGGCCGGGCCGCCTGCGGCTGCTTTTGTGTTTGCAGAGGCTCTGGGCTGTTGGACCACACACCTGGCTCCTCTGCCTTTCTTTCCTGGAAGGCAGGAGGAGCCTATGAACATCAGAGGCTTTACCTGACCGGCGAGACACCATCCCGGGAGAAGAGCAGGAAGCTGGGGCTGGGGCCGGGGCCGCTCCCTGAGTATCCCGAATCCACAGGCTTCCTGAGCCAGACCGAGATGCCTGCCAGTCACCTGTCCCTCTCCCAGGATGTATCTCCCTCACCTGGGGCCTGCGGGAGGTGCCACGTGACCACCGCCTAGGCTTCTAGGCTTAGCTCGAGACACAGGTGAACAAGCAAGCAGAGTGAGGCACACGCCTGTATGCCACCCGCGTCCCACCACGTGCAGTGGGAGCTCTGTCGGTGGAGAGCGAGGTCAGGCTGCGGCAGCCTTCCCGGAGCTGTGGTTTCTCTTACTAAACAGAGCCAACGCTGTTTCGGGATTTGTTTTAGGATCAGCCTGGAAAAGTAGGCTGGCTTTCAATTTAGGGTAGGGTGAGGTCCACACCATCCTGGGAATATGCACGTTCTTCCCCAAATGGGAGGATGGGAGGTCTTGTAGGCTCTGAGGTTGTTTGTCAAACTGAATGCAGTCTAAAAGGATGAAGAGCGCGCGGGGGTGGGGGGGGGGGGGGGGGCACGACCAGGGGGTTTTTCCCCAAAAATGCCCCCCTCGGGGCGGGGCTCCATTATAGACACCCGGGCTTGGCCGAGCGATGCATTTTCCGGACAAGATTCTCTACAGGGCACCCTTAGGTGCGGCGAGGAAAAGCAGGGGAGGGATGGCCCAAGTGCTTGGGCCCCTGCACCTGTGTGGGAGACCTGGAGGAAGCTCCTGGCTCCGATTGGCACAGCTCTGGCTGCTGAGGCCATCTGGGGAGTGAACCAGCAGATGGAAGACCTCTCTCTCTCTCTGTAACTCTGCCTTTCAAATAAATAAATAATAAAGAAAAGAGGAACACCCACCAAAACAAACGGAAGCCACCCCGAGGCAGCCCGAGTTCCACATCAAAACTGAGGATTAGAGCCTCTCCGCTCCTCGCCTTTGAGCTGGAACAGCCAGCCAGATGCGCACCCCAGTCAGCCAGGCAAGGCCGGAGCACCGGGTCTGATCTCCGAGTCATGACTCAGCATCCTCGAGTCCCTCCCCCACCCAGACACTGACGGGATGGGGCAGAGTTTTTGGAAAAGGCAGGTTGGGGGAGGTGAGCATGGTGCAGACGAGTGCCTGTGTATAGGCGGGGGAGGGGGGCAGAATCAAGCAGCCCTGGTGCAGACCTCAGCCCGCCCCACCCCCACAAGGCCTGCAGGATCCTTGCACTGAGCCGGAGCGAAGGGGCTGCCTCAGGCACTGTTACAGGATCGCACTGGGGTTAATGAGCAGGCACAGCCGCCCTTCAGACAGGAGATTCAAACAAGCTACGGTAGTGCATGCCTGAGGCTGCTTCAGTTGTGTGGCCTTTTGAGGATCTGGGGTCAAAGGCCAAGTTGGAGATAGGTTTCTTATCCTCAGCGGATACCCCAGCCCAAACCAGATACCCCAGCCCGAACCATCCCCAGAGTGGCCTCATACAAAGCATGGTGGGGGGGGGGGCACAGTAGCTCCATTTCCACCTGCCTCACAGGAAAGACACGGCCAGGCCTGGCGCTGCGGTGGAGGGCTGAGCCTGCGTCTGCCATGCCGGCATCCCACATGGGCACCGGGTTGAGACCCGGCTGCTTGACTTCCCATCCAGCTCCTTGCTAATGCACCTGGCAAAGCAGCAGAGGATGTGCCCACGTGGAGACCCAGGAGAAGCTCCAGACTCCTGGCCTAGCCCGGCCTAGCCCGGCCTAGCCCGGCTGTTGTGGCCATTCAGGGAGCTCCCAGAGGACTGAAGGTCTCCAACTCTGCATTTCGTGTAAATAAAAATAACAAATAAATAACAAAAATTTTTTTTGCATCATGGTGTTTCCCTTGTTCAGATCAGTGCACATGGTTTTTCATTTGCCAGTGGAATGGGTTCTGTAGGGTGCAAGGTGGAACGCCTATCTCGAACACGGTGGAGGTGCCACATCCTACAGAGAAGGGAGAGGACTCCCGCCTCCAATATGCAGCCCCAAGTGAAACATGTGGCGGCCCCATGGGACGTCCACCCTCGCTGGAAGATGGGTAATAGACCCCCCCCCCCCATCACCTGCAGCGCTCCTGGTCAGCCGTGCTTTTCCCACCGGCTTTATGCTGGTTTTTACCACTCAGGAATGCACTCCAGTTGTGGGGCTTTGGTGCTTCCTGGGGATAAGTTCCTTGCTGATGGTACAAAGGGGCTTTCAATATTTGGATGCCCAGGTAGGCACCTCAGGTGCCTAAGGTCATAGCCCTCTTAGGCACGGCAGAATAAACTCCCTGAGAACCTGCAGGTCAAAGGCCGAGAGATGCACTCAGCACTCTGCTTCTGCTTCCATGGTGCGGAGTCTCACCCAGGAATTCCCTGCATGAGGCTATGCCTCCTAGATGTATTCTAGTGATGGCGGTAGCGGCCTCTTACTTGCAGGTTTGTGGGGAATCTACCACACAGATTTGTCTCTGGGTACACCGCCCCTTCATGACTTAAGTCCCCTGGGGGCCGTTTTACCCCAGGCATGCTGAGTTCCTTATATAAGGGGCAATGGGTAATACCCCAGATTACGGTGGGGAGCCCCCTCATTGGGCTGGCTACATCAGGGAGCCCCAGAGGGCTGGTTTAGGCTGCGAGCCCCACTTTGGATTGCAAGAAGAGATTCTAAGGCCCAAATCAATCTGTAAGTCCCACGCTTAAGCACACTTCGGCCTGTAGGGAGCCACGTCTGCCTCTGTCTTCGCAGAAGCTATGAGGAGCCTGTTCAGCTGCTCAGTTCTGCAGGCATTCCTATGGACTCACTTCTGAGAGCACAGCTTCAAAAACCCGCCAAGGGACCCCAAATCCCCTGAGCCACATGGTAAAGACAGCGTTTCAGGTGTTTAGTACTAGTGTAGACAGGGTGCTCCGACAGAGGAAGCCGTCTACGCAGCAGAGGGGTAAGACGGAAGTTACGGTAGCAGCACTCAGCCTAGGAATCGCCCAAAGGGCATTCAGTCTGGCTGAAAAGCCCACAGGAGAGCGTTCGGGTGTGGAAAGCCAGGAGAGTCTCTCCATGAAGGACCTCTGTGGTCCGTGCCCAATGCAGAGAAGCAGTCACTGGGGCCAGCGCTGTGGCATAGCGGGTAAAGCTGCAGCTTGCAGTGCTGGCAACCCATGTGGGCGCCAGTTCAAGTCCCAGCTGCTCCACTTCTGATCCAGCTCTCTGCTGTGGCCTGGGAAAGCAGTAGAAGATGGCCCAGGTCCTAGGCCCTGCACCCGCATGGGAGACCCAGAAGTTACTGGCTCCTGGCTTTGGATCAGCTCAATTCCGGCCACTGTGGCCATTTGGGGAGTGAACCAGCAAATGGAAGACCTTTCTCTCTGTCTCTCCCTCTCACTGTCTGTAACACTCTCTCTCAAGTAAATAAAGAAAATCTTAAAAAAAAAAAAAAAAAAAAAAGTAGCTCCTCACGTTTGGGACCAGGAACACCTGGATTTGCTACACACACTCTGCCTGTCAGTTTTCTTAAGAGAGAGGACTGCATCTCCTCACCGGTGTTAGCGTCCCGTGTAAGCAGGAACCAGACAGGGACTTCAACGACTGATTGAGGTTTTCAAACGTGGGCTCTTGGCTCCATGTCAGCCTTCTTGTAAAACTCCTGTTCTGCGTGCTTTAGAAACCAGATGGGGAATGCAGAACAGCTGAGGACCTCAGGGCTAGTAAGGGCCGTCGCTCCTGTTCACCCTCTTCTGCCAAACCCTCCCCCAGAGGGTGCGCTCCTCTGCGTCCCCTTAGACACAGGTCTGCGAGCGCCGGGACCCAGAGCTCCTCCAACAAAGGCTCCGACTTCTATGCAAGAGGTACACGACCCAGGATGTACTCTGACCCCAGGAAAGCCGCTCTGGCACCCAGAGAGAGGAAGCTGTATTACGGACAGCCATCCCTCATATAAGGCTTTCAAGTGTCCTGACCCAGACCCTCTTTACTGGACAGAGAGCCACAGGTGCCTTCCGAAGGACCAGAATGGCTACACAGCAGGCTCTAGAAATGGCTTTCCTACCTCAGCCTGTAGAGATAACTAAACCCGTACTATACAGAGCCAGAGATGGCGTGGCCCAGCCACAGTGAGGTCATAGAGAAGGTGAGAGAGACGGTGGACTGTGGGTCAGAAGGTTACGCTTCCAATGGCCTCTCAGTGGACGAGCGTTAGGGAAATACGCGACTTCACCCATCTGGGCAGAGGAGCTCTAACACAAACAGTGTCTTGGGTACTTAAAGAACAGGACTGCACGGTGTTGGCAATTCAACAGGTAGCTACCGCCCTACAGATTTCTTATCTCTGCGCTCCTGGAGACCTCAGTCATCAGGTAAAGTCGAAAAGGCTAACATATAGTCTTAAGAACATTCCAGCTAAGGTTTGCCGAGAGGCCTCAGAAACACGGCGTCAACTGCAGCCCACTGGCCTCATCAGAACGAGGACGGTGCCCACGGCTGCCTAAAGCTTAGTCTATTTGAGATGCTACGTGGAGGCTTTTCCGCACCTCTGACATCCTCCTGATTCCGACTCAAGATCAGACAAAGTACATTACTGATTTAGGCCAGGTTCAGAAGGT